ACATCTGGATCATCTGTTCTGGTTGGGTGTGTTTAAAGGGTGAAAATTTCAGTTTTCAAGCGACTATATCTGGATGTTTGTACCGGTATGTTCCATGTAAGTGTCCCAATGTCGGAGTCGTTTTGGAGCTATTTAGCTATTTAGTGCTCTATGATTTCTAGTGTTGGAATCGAAACATGGGTAATTTTCGAAACATCTCGCGTGATAGCACAATGTGATGAATAGCGGTTTTTTGCTTTTAAAATAGTATATTCAGCTCTACCCACAACGTAATTAGAAATAGAAAAAAAGGTTATTAAATCAGAACTCATTGTAGTCATAAAAATACATAAATGATAAATTAAGAGCAGAATTATGTTGGAGCTGCAATGAATGATAAGAGCGGCGATGCGAGCAACCCTAGGCAAATTAAACAAACATTTTTAAGAAAGATATCTACTAATGATACTTTCATATTCATTCGATTGTGAACTCAGTATGTTGATAGTACAGTTAGACCATTTATTGTCTTAATGTTCCTCTACCGCGCTGCTTGCCGCTTTCATCGCTGCTTTGCTCTCTGCTCGAGTATCTGTTAAGCGATAAGATAAAAAAATGGTATGGATGTTGACATTATAAATGAAAATTTTGTAATGGTGTTACAAGAAAGTGAAAAAACTATGACATATATTAATACGAATACGAGAACTATAAAAGTCATTTAAAGCATTTCTGTAACAATTTTGTATAGATATTCTAAAACTGAATAAAGTTTTGTTTCAACAATGGTCACAGTTTTCGCCTATTTGGATATTGTAAATGTATTTTCAGTAAGAAGTAAGTAAGTGTAAATTGACAATAATTTTGACAGTTTAGAATTAATTCACCTTCACCTCTAAATTACTAGATTTGCGAAATATGTAAAATGCGAAAATATGTTTAAAAAATATTATATTTATAGAAAAAGTGCTACCTAATTTAGGTTCTTACAGCTTGCGATGAATTTTATTTGTCACTATTTAAGCGAATGATAATCAGAAGAGTATTGTGATAAATTACCATTAATATTTTGTTTAATAAATTCGTAGAATTTTTTGATAAAATATTGGAAATGAATCTACCTTTATTAAAGTTATTCATCACAGTAAGAATTTATTCAGACGTGGGCATATAACACTGTGAGAAATTGATTAATTCGTAAGTGCTCCTCCACTATAATTTCCAGCTCTCCATCTCCTTAGAAAGTCACCCAGATTATTAGATTATAAGATAATTGATTCCTCACGCCTCTTTAGATAACTGGCCATTAAGTCCATATTTCACTCTGATGGCTTCTGATTCTTCACACTAATTCATTTTGTGACATGTAGCTGTTGAACAATGAAATTTAACTCAGCACCCGGATCCCGTAATATATTTTCTGAATTTTAATAAAGGCACACCAAAAAAGAGAAAGCAGGAACACAACGACTGGAGTTGCGTAAGTTAAATGTGCATTATTTATTTATTTGTTATTTTAAAAATAAATTTTCGGAGGCATCTACTTGAGGAGGATATAATTTTTCAATTTCTACAGGTCATTTGTTTGTCGCTGCTAGCGCTATTGTTGGATACAGTTAATATTTTTCCTAACATAAATTATGATAGCTGCTTACATTATTATATAATAAAAATAATGACTATTTATACATATTTTGACGTAAGGCCTGCGAGACGCTTTATTTATGCACAGGCTGGTCCATTTTCGATGGGATTTCAGGGTATCTCAGAAACTACTAAAGATATGATAAATCAGACACCACGTTCTCGAGCTCGATTTTCATGGCAAACTCGACTGTCAAATCAGAAATTTGATATCTTCATTTGTTTCTGAGTTACAGGGTGTTTCTCGTTATTGTGACACTTTTGGACATGTCTGTATCTCAGCTGTTAAATAAGTTAGAGTTAAAGTGAAAACTGCTCAAGACTAATTTTTTGGCGTAGAATTGAATGCCGGTATTAGATTTTTAGTAGGTCTTAAGATTCCCGAGTTATGACCCAAAGTTATAATTTTTTAAATGGAAATCGTAGCTGACCATGGCCTAAAAAAAAATAGAGATTTTCTTCCGCTTTTCAGCAATATATCATATGCTATAGTTATTTTTACAAACACGGGAGATACGGGAGATACGCCCTGTAACTCAGAAACAAATGAAGATAGCAAATTTCTGATTTGACAGTCGAGTTTGCCATGAAAATCGAGCTCGAGAACGTGGTGTTAGATTTATCATATCTTTAGTAGTTTCTGAGATACCCTGAAATCCCATCGAAAATGGACCAGCCTGTACTGTTAGTTTTAATCAATAATACAAAAAAAATAATACGAATTTATGAAATGTTTTATTATTTCTAATTAGTATTTCTAATAGTAGTAAAAAAAATTGTTGGATATTTTGTGCTGTATTGACTTTTATACTGTTATGACCTCCTCCAATAGATATTTTGAAAGCGTTCGGAGCCGTACTTAGGAAAAATTTCAAATGATAGCTAGAACAAGCTAAAAACCTTTTTAAGCGATTACAATAGTAATATCATCTAATACAGAATTAAAAATGACTTTACATTTAGTCATAAAAATAGCAGCGACGTATTAAAAAAAATAACCTGATGAAGGGCCTTCGAAGACGAAACGTCGGATTGCAAAAATGTTGATGACATTTTATAGAGAGAAAAAAATGGCAATGTAAATATCTAATTTATTTTAAAATTCGATTTCAGATAAAGCCAGAAAAAAAATTTACCCGGTATTTTAAAACTTTCTAAACGGCATATTGTTAGGTATAAAAAACACAACTTTTTTCTAATTTGAGCCACCCAGTATCTCTTACCGTTTCCTAGATCCTATTCGTATCCCATCCTTATCTTGGACATACTGTATACAGATCAAAAAATCTGTATTTGGAAATGTCTATTTTTTTATAATCTATCTACATGTACATAAGCTGATCCGTTTTGGAACTGTGATTTTATTGATGATTTGTTAAATGGTGGTCTCAAGATTTCTTAATATAGATTCCAACATAAAATTGGGTCATACCTGTGTGTTATTTACCTAAATAATGTTGGGTTAGGACAAACTAAATTATTTTAAATTAAATAAAAATTAACCTGTCTAACTTTATAGAAATTTATCTATTTCATAAAGAAGGTTGCCAAAGTCTTATAGGACTTTGGGCCCACAACGTCCAAGTTTGAAAAGTTGTAGTAGGCACTTGGTCTAGCAAAGAAAAAAGTCAATAGCCACAACCCCTTAAAATTGAGCTGTTTCTAAGATATTGGTTTTCAAAGCTGCTGAACTTCAAAATTCAAAATTTGCATTGACCCACAAATAATGAAAAAAGTCATGCGCAACGGACTAACCCATAGTATTTCCATGTACTTTAGTCCGCAAAGCCGAATTGACCTCAGTTTAGTTCTACTTATCATGAATTTTTCAAACATTTCAAAAGAGGATTTTTGTCATAGAGGGTTACCTAAAAACTTTAAAGTTTAAGACGTTTAATATAGCGCTCTAATGGATCTCGTATTTTTTTATTAGTTATCTTCATCAGAATACTCTAGCAAAACTAGCATTAGCGATATACCTTCGGCGTGTAGTCTTATTGTTTTTAGGTATTGCCCATGACCTAAATACCAAATAACTGTCGTGATGTGCGCACAATATCCTACCGTTCTGAGTCCGTTCTTACATTGACAATAGTATCCACGAATATCCACGAATAGCCATTCGTGGACCTGCCTTGTCCAAATCTATAAGAATATACAGAAAATATCATTCCTCTTGCGGGAGTCGCTCTTCCCTTATAGTGCGCATGATCTGTTTTCCCCTCAATTTCTGAAACGGCTCAGTTTACAGCAAAACGTTGTATTTGTAATCTCAGCATACTAAAAAACGAAGGACAGTACACTTTTCAAAGATGGATGTATGGGGCCCAAAATTGACACCCTTCTTTGGAGAAGAGTTTTTGGGGAAGAGAGTGTATCAACGTAACGTTTGTAATATGCCCTATAGGAAGGGAGACAGAAGCATATGAATTATATACAGGGGTACAACTCTGGAAGATTTAAAGTATAAGATTTTAGAGATAATAATTGGAAGTAGACTCTCTGGAGATAAAGAAGCTGGAGAATATAAAGGAAGGTCAGAAAAGAGCTAACAGTTATTAGGGCATCGGTGTAATATATGGATTATGAATAAGAATATGGAAAAATTTTAGACATATACAAAAATAATATTAACGAGAAATTTTGGAAGTAATAGAAAAAACGGTCAATGGAGATGGATTAAAAACAGAGAATAGCGGGAAGTTATAATAGCTTAGTACAACGTGTGTAACAAAGGCGCAGAGAGCAATATGATTATTATTAACATACGTTTACAGGAAGCCTCAGGTAAGATAGCTAGTATATTTTTATTTGGTGGTCAAGGAGGAAACTAAAGGAAAAAATGGATGAACATCACCAAAGAGAATCTGAGAGACCTGGGTGTTCAGGATTGGAAATCTGTTGCTGTGGTAGAAGTGAAATGGAAGAGCTTAAATAAGAATGAACTAGGTTCGGCCGCACTTCAGATTCCTGTTTAATAATAGTATTTTCTTACTCTTTAATAAATAATTACTCTATTATGATTGGGTCTGCAATATTTTTCAATTTGTTCACACAGCATTCGTCTTCATTAAATACTTTTAAAATGTGATACATTTGGCATCTTTGAGTTATACAGTTTTTGGAGTTTAGTCTTTAATAAATAATAGAGTATATTACGATTGGGTCTGCAATATTTTCCTATTTATACACATAGCGTTTGTCTTCATTACGGACTTTTAAAATTCGATACGATTCGTTGCTTAAATATATGCATGCCGTCTGTACTCTACCGATAAGTGTGAACTTACCATTTGAAAGAAATGGGGCAGCAGATAAGTATTGTGTTTTTAAAGAAATAATCAGTTAAATTCGGTTTTGTTATTTTTACAACGTACCTCTCCGTTTTCCATTGGAGTCAATTTCGAATAGAACGAAGTACAAATGACTTCGGAGTCGGTGAAATAATGAGGTTTTCCCTTAGTCGCCGGGATCCCAAATCGTTCGATACATTCTCTGTCACTTCTGGCGAAGTATTGCCAGGGTTCGAAGTTCTCGCCGTCGATGGATTTTTCAAGTATCCACGTACCAGGCCTAGGTGAATTTGCCGCCTTGACGATGACATAAGCGATCTGATACACCTGAAAAAAAAGAAAAAAATAGTTTAATCAAAAACTTGTGAGAAGGGAAACTTAAATTTGTAGAATATCAATAATAGTCCAATGCATTTGAAATAACAGAGTTGATGATGACTTCCGGTATAACCGGAAGTGCGAGGAAGTTGACAGTATTTTCATTGAATAGATCATTTTGATAAAACTGTATACAAAATTTCAGATTTCAATTCTGATTGCTTCTTGAGATAATTCTACTGGGCCCTCTTCGTGACACACCCTGTATATATAGTTGTATACCCAAAGTAAAGTTACAGTTAGAATAAAAGCCATTTATTCTTCTCTTTAAGAAAAAACTACCTATTTGTTGACTCTCACACGGGAAAATTATGTATTAGTCAATACAATTTTTTGCCAACGTACAGTGTTTCAAGAAATATGTGCGATGACCCGTGGTGATATTCATTTACAAAAATATGAAAAATGGTTTCCATTAACATAGGTGCTTTTGCATTTATGTTAATTTTTTTGAGTCTTTCGAAATACCTCCGGAATGAGGTTGAACGTTTTCCGAACTGATTGTCACGTAACCAGAGTAATACCGCTCTCTTCTTCAGAATAAACTTTAAAATCTGGATATTAAGTCCTCTGGTTGGTATTTATATTCGCGGCATGTTTGTGTTCATAACTTTCCTTTCCTTGGTTCGAAGTCACTGGGCTATGATGTTCGGTTCCCTGATTTTTATTTATGAGTCGTTTTCTAATTACAAGTAGTTTTGTAGATTCTGATCCAAGATTTTTTCTGTCCCTTTCTCACTGCTGATAATAAAATTATTACTATTTTATGTAATTTTCACAGCTTAATAGTGCAATTAAATTGCTAAAACCTTTTAAGAGATATTTGAAAAGAAAAGAAAAAGTGGAAAATAACTAAATAAAACACACAAAAATCAATGACGGAGTAAACCGTATCACTTATCAAATAAATAGCAAAAAAATAAAAATTGTATAACATGTTCATTTACCGCATAAAACAAAATATATACTTAAAAAATACTACACTTATATTTTGGCGAAAATGTAGTAGATACCAGCAAATGAGGCAAATAGTAAGAATGAACCCGTTACCCCGGGTTACCCGTATTGTGTGGGTTTACTCAAGTGGCTAGTAATACGACACTAGACTGTTGGTCATGGTTCAAGTATGTGTTGGAACAAAGATGCACCTCTCATCTCGGTGCGGTGCTCGATGCCGAGAACGTGCCGGGAATGCATTAGATGCGGTTTTGTTAGGAATGAGATTACTGCATAAACCGTTAACAAGAATTTACCTAATTCTGAAGATTTGCGTTAGGTATTTCCATATACCTACTCATACCTCTTTCGGCATTTATATGCCATACTAACAAATTATATGCTAACAGCTTATACTTATATGCAATATGGCATGACTTAATGAATGACTATTTCTGGGAAATTAGTTTTATGATATACAGGGTGTTTCTTAATAACTTGCTAATATTTAAGGAGGTTATTCCTGGGTCCATTTTAAGAAAAAAACTTCATATGAACATATATCCTAAAAGTCTTAATTTTTGAACTACAGGGTGCTAAAGTTTTATGAAAAAACATTTTTTTATTATAACTTTGGTATTACCTACCCTACACATTTTTTCAAATTTGGTACATGCCTTCTTTTCATCAAGATGCATTTTTTGATGTACAAACAATTTTATTATTTTTGCCAGTGGCGTCTGTACATGTTTTGTATTGAATATTTTTGAAGAGAAATATGTTACGCCACTGCTTTTTCTTTAAGTAAAAATCATTTGTGAAATCCGCATTCCTTTCTGAGCAAATGTGGTGTCTACAATTTTTTCGTTTGACGTACGATTTTCGCATAAAAAAATAAAATTCATTCATTTGCATCTTATTTACGAGAAAAAAAAATGTAATTTTGAACAATAATTTATTTATTTAAGATAATAACTTTTAAACATTGAAATTATGAAATTACAGTAATCTACATACATTTTGGATTGGTAAAAAAAATTACCCTGGCGTGACATTTTTCTTCAAAAATATTCAATACAAAACCTGTACAGACGCCACTGGCAAAAATAATAAAATTGTTTGTACATCAGAAAATGCATCTCGATGAATAAAAGGCGTGTACCAAATTTGAAAAAATATCTAGGGTAATACCAAAGTTATCACAAAAAAAGTTTTTTCATAAAACTTTAGCACCCTGTAGTTCAAAGGTGTTTAGGACATATGTTCATATGAAGTTTTTTTCGTAAAATGGACCCAAGAATAAAACCTCCTTAAATATTAGCACGTTATTAAGAAACACCCTGTATATTACTAGTTTTATACATGTTTACTTTGCTATTAAATTCCTCAAATTTTGTTTCACCCTAATAGTAGGTATCTATTTAAACCAGCAAAATCATAGTATGTTTTCTGTAAAAAAATGCATATTTGGGTGTATAAGCAACAAAGGTATTACAAAAATTACTACAACTTTTATTCTTACAAGTTTTTTTATATCAGAATAACGGAGACAATAAAGGGTGACATTTATGGAAGAAACCGGATGCCTGAATAGTATTAAAAAAAATAAACAGTAAAAGTAAGTAATTATAGTAAATATACATTTAATAAGTGGGTCTAATATTACAAAACTCATCTCTTAAATATGACATGAATAAATTATGACAGCAGATATAGTAATATTAATATTTGTGAATTACTGGCGCATTCGCCATAAATTTGAAAGTAATAACCCTTTGAAGCACACATTTTTCACGAGAACGCAATGACATTTCCGTCACGGATTTTTATGTTTCCAGCGTCGGTGATTATAGGTGATTATAAATCTGAGGTCACGATGCAATTTGGCAATTGACACCTGCCAATATCGTGTTGTATTGACTCGAGATCTTGGACAATGTTGCCGGTAAAGAGATTTATCTGCTCTCACTATAGTAAATAGACTATTAATACATTGTTTTAAGGAGGCAAGTGGATTTTACCGTAGGAGTGGAAGTAGCTATGGACAACGGGAGCCAAGTGAGTTAACTTACCTCCCTAGGGAAAAAAGCGATTTCGAGTTATAAATGCATATTTTATGAACAAATAAATATAAATATTCGATGAACTTTATATTTTATTAATTATTATGAATTAATATTTATAGTAATTGTACAGTTATTACATTTAGTAACATTTATAAAATCTGGATAATTATTCCCCTCGCGTTTACTAATTGTAACATTTTTCTCAAAATGATTTGATCGCTCCATTTCAGCCACCGGAGGCTCCATATTATATGACTGATCTATTAAAACAGCATGATGCGACGTACTACTAGAATCTGGAGTTGAAGTGTCATTGTAAAGAATCCTGTTGGATATTTCATTTTTGTCACTTAAACTGTCAGCAACATAACTTTCTGCAATTGTGGCTGTCATCAACTCCTGTATTAGCCGGTAACATTGCCGATGTTCTTCGGAATGAATGGCCTGTATATGTTTCGGATGTCCTAGTACTCTGGGTATTCTTGACGATTGGTTGGTTGTAACATCTACCTGCTTGATGGCGCATAAAAAAGCGTGAAATTTCAGTTTTAATTTCCAATCTAATCTTGATATATTTCTTGAGAATTTCTAGGTGAGAAACAGAACCCAGACGAGAAGTAATTGTAAACGTACGTTACATATCATTTTTAGAATCTGGAATTGTAACTACAATAATGTCATCAAAATTTTTGAAATTGACGTTGTCCAAAGTAAGTTTGCATAACTCATTAGAACAGCATGCTCCTTCAACGCCTAAGACTGTCACTACCTTCATTAGTAAATATGAGTTATCGGGTGCCTGAACGAGAAAATTGTTGACTTGTTCTCTTGTAAAAACGTGACTTTTTAGGTGTTTAGCCGTCATTTTTACGTTTCAAAAATGCTGTCAACTTGGGGTATCTTGATATATCCACGTTCTCGGAAATAGTTAACTTAATCATTGAGTATTCACTCAAGAAATTCGCCGGTGACTTTAAAATTCTTGACTTCTCCATGAAATATGCTAGCAGTGACATTTCAGAAACACTAGTATTTTTGTTCTAGCACCATTCTTTGAAATTTCTATATGCTCGTCCGTAGCGCACTTTCGACTTCTCGTGCAATAAAAATTTGCATGCATGCATATGTTGCACTTCTCTATTTAAAAATCACTCATTTAGAAATAATATTTCAAAACCAGGAAAATTGCAACTTTTATGTAGCTTTGTTTATAAACACCTTGGAAACGACAAAATCCAAACAACCAAGACGACTTTGCAAGATTTCGAACAATAAATAATAAAACCTAATTTTTATTTCATGAACCATAAAGAACTGTGGGAGCAGATAAAATGTTATGCACCACGTAGCAGTTAAGTATAATTTACCGGTCTCGGACTCTATTGCCAGTCCTCGCTCCGTTCGGTCGAAAATCGTCCTCGATTGGTAGATAATGCCTCATTTATGGTGTAAATAACTATTTTGACATCGCCGATTCTAAATCTGATATCATAAATGCCTCTTGACATTGACGGCTGTCATATCAATGCTGTAGAAGTGACAGAATGAATTGGTTTTTCGAGAAAATAATTTCCGAGGGTTTTTGGGAGTGGGAATTCTAAACTTAACTTTGAAAATCACTGTGTCAAAACTGTTAAAACGGAATCGATATTGTCAAAATAATAATACCCATGTTGTTTTGGAAGTTGCTGATCTCGAATTTGAGATCAGAAATTTATTTTGGCAGTTGACAACTGTTTTGTGGATGTAATCAAAATGATACCATGGACTGTTGTTTTTTAAGACGACCTCTCAGGTGTTTTTGGGGTCGCAGTTTGCAAATTATATACTGGAGATAACTTTTGATAGCTGCCATATCGACACTGTAATGACCGAATTTCGTGAAGATGATGATTGGAGAATCAATGATTCAGCTGAACTTAATTTGGGCCGAAAAGTACACTGAAC